CGCTCTTCTGGCTTCCTGGCTGGCCTCAGGCTTTGCCATGGGAATGAGGAGGCAAAACACGCTTAATGATATCATGCCCCCCGGATGTCCCCTCCCCGTTTGTGGGGTGGCTGATATTGAGCAGTAGCAGGCAGCCAGTCCTGGGTAAGTCATGCAAGTTGTGTGGTAGCAAGTCAGTTGTGGTTGTTGCTAGGCCAGCCATGAGGAGTCTTTCCTCAAAGGCCAAACAGCCCTGGAAAGGGCCTTGTGCCTTCTCCCTGACTTTTCCTGACAGAAGCCAAAGTTTGAAGCTTATAAAAAAAACAACCAGAGTCTTTGGTGTAAATATCGAGAAAAAATATATAACTCACCAAAGAAAAAACACTATTCTATAAATTTTAACACATTTTGTTATGTTTTTATATTGAAAATATCTGTCATAAGTAACATTCATTGTATAAAATACATTTCACGAGTATGAGTCAATATATATTGGTCTGTGGCAAGGTTCCCTCTAAGCTGCGGAGTCTGGTGAGCAAAAATTCTACTTTGTGAGCTGCTGGCATTAAAGTTGTGAGCGAGCGATTTGGCTGCTGCATAACTTAGTTTGCTCTGGAGCCATTCTTCCTGAGCGGAGACAAAAATGTGTGAGCCGGAGGCTAAGAAACTATGAGCTAGCTCACACTAACTCAGCTTAGAGGGAACACTGGTCTGTGGTCAAAGACCATAGAGATTGGAACTAATACAATACAAAATCTTGATGTAAATATTATGAATTCAGTCCTGGCCATGTTCCTGGATCCTAGTAGTGGTGTTATCACTTTAAGGCATCTTAATAGGGCTGTGAAGGGAAAAAAACCTTTGTTTTTCCAACCGCTTAATCAACACATATAACTACATCCACAGTCATCCGTTAAACACACAAAAAAAGTCAATTATGTGGGGGAAAACAATGCATGTGAAAAATATGTAAGAATTCAAGGAATGTAAGCGATAGAGAGAGGACAAGTTTTTCCGGAATAGAAAGCTGTTTCACATATCTTTATCAACTCAGTCTCTCTGTGGATGTTCATCACCAATCTCTTCACTGAGCTGTTTTAAAAAAACATAGCATGTGCTTTACATCGCTATAGAAACAACCAGGGGTCATTTCATAGAAAACGAGGTGCAGGGGCTCATTAGAATAACTCATTAGCATAACTTATTTGCATATGCCACACCCCCTGACGTCACCAGAAGTGTGTCAGAAGGCAACACCCACTGCTCAGGCTCCACTGGACTGTTTTGGATTGCTAGCTATTGGGGGTGGGGGGGAATGCGCAGATCTGCCCTCACAGAGGATAGAGAGCTTGTATTTGAAGGTGGGCCGGGTGGGGGGGCTCTGTAACTTACCTGGCTGCTTCTTGGTCTTCATGGCCTGATTGAGGGCTGCTGGGAGCAGGGGGTGGGGCTTGTTGCATGTTCCCACCCCCTGGCCTCCTTACTGCCGGAGCTCCGCTCCTGTGCGCTCCTGCAGGAAATGACCCCTGGAAACAACTAACCCACATATCTCCAGAGTTTGAAGCTTGGCATTGCAGTTATGGTTGCCTATCAATGGTCACTGAGGGCATTAGTTTCTTAAAACTACAGGCAATGCATCCTACTATAGCACTTATATGAAGTGCTCTAAAACAATGGCTAATTAAAACCTGTCAAAAAGCAACAAATCCATGTTGAAGCTTCCACTGTCTCAGGGTAAAGTTTAGAATGTTCTGAGTCTGCTGCTTGGACTGTGGTTTCCTGGAGTTGTTTGTGTTGAGCCAGCATACTTGAAATTTCCTCTGAAATCACTGTAGGAATTTATAAGCATGCCTAGAGGTGTTAAGATTTTTTATGCCATCAAGTCGCAGCTGTCTTATGGCGACCCCATAGGGTTTTCAAGGCAAGAGATGTTCAGAGTTGGTTTGCCATTGCCTGCCTCTGTGTAACAACCTTGGACTTCATTGGTGGTCTACCATTCAAGTACTAACCTGGGCTGACTCTACTTAGCTTCCAAGATCTGAGGAGACTGGGCTAGGCTGGGCTATCCAGGTTAAATTTTTGTTTGTTTGTTTGCTGTTAAATTACTGCTGACTTATGGTGACCCTGGAAGGTTTTCAGGGCAAGAGATGAACAGATATGGTTTGCTGTTGCCTGCCCCTGCTTAGCAACTCTAGTCTTCCTTGATGGTCTATCCAAGTACGAACCAGTGCTGACCCTGTTTAGTTTCTGAAATCTCATTACTAGATAGGTATTCAGTAGATAGATATATAAATGTCGTAAATATATATACAAGGATAATTAGTCTGGAAAGAATCTGGGATTTTCTGATCAAGCACATTCAATCAGGCTCTAGTTCGTGATAATATGAATTAAAGGCACTGTTTTTAAAACTATTAATCTGAAAGGAAGGGCTTTTAATATTTTTAATAATTTGATTTGTTTTAATAGTTTGATTCACTTATTTGAAAGAGTCAAGCCAACAGGAATACTTTGAGATGATTTCACTGCATGATTGCATAACTAAAATTGCATGTTCTTTCAAAATCCCTGCTTCTCTATGATTAAAATACTGGAAATTCTTGTGTATATGAAAATTGGGTGCTTTCTGTATATCCAGAGTGAGACAGAATATTACTTGTGTTCAGGATGTGAACGATACATATATCCTCTGGAAACCCTTAGCACTAAAATTAACAACATGTAATGAAATAAAAGGGGTGAAAAATTACTAATAACTATTTTAATAAGAGACATTGCAGGTTTTTAAAATTCTCTTTTTAGACTGAAAAAATAAATTCATTACTTTGTTGCATAACTTAGTTTATTTAATTTAGTGGTAATTTAAAAACAACAACAACTGGAAAAGCCCTGTTGATACAGGAAGAGGAGATGGCTGCTGCCATGGAAATGGGGCAGGGAAAACTCAACCCCCCCCCCCCCCCCCCCCCCCCCCACCCCACCCCCCCCCCCCCCCCCCCCGGCCAGATGACAACCATCCAGGCTTTGCTGAGATTTTACCAAAAGCTTCTCAACAAAGCAGGTTTGGGAAAGATCAGAGAAAATGCTTCCCAACAGCATTGGTAATAAATAACCCAGGTAGAGAAGGTCATTAAGAATATGCCTTGCTGATTAACGTCTTATTGTTTGTTCCCCTTGCTCAGGCATTTTCAGGGAAGAACCAAGTTAAAATTAATCCCAGACCAGGGAAGGTAGGAATTTTTTTTTTTAGAAAAATGAATACCTACTTATTTTTATTATGTATTCTTTGTCACTATATTCAAATAGACTGAATTTATTTTCTTTTAAAATACAGATTGTGATATGTAATAAATCAGATCCTGAGAACGTTGTTGAAGTTTTTCATGATATGTCAAATTGTACTTCTTGGGTGCTGTCACCTGTGATTTTCATTAAAGTCATCAGAGGATGGTAAGAATAAAGATAGTTAAACCCTATCGTTTTGTCCTGCTACTCTGGTTCCAGATTCAGTCACAGTCAAACCATTGTGTATGCCCATTATACTTAATCATACTTTATTTGCAACGTCAATAGATATTTTTTTCTAAATTCTGTTTGGCTCAGTGTCTGTTTTCTAGCTTAGCTGTGCTTGAGCTAGTTTACTTTGTGTGTTAAGGCATGTTTTAAACTGTTTCAACAAGTATATTTTCTTGATCTGGTATGTGTGGAACCTTCATTGTTAACTTGACTCATACTTTCTTATTTTCATACTTTGATCTTGTTCTAAAGGTTTTTCCTGTCACTTGAAGTCTTCTTTATTCTGCATATTTCTAACAAATGTTTACTGGTTCTTCACTTTGAAAAGGCAAACAGGACAGCTAGATTACTCTTACTGAATCCTATGCATCTTTTAAAAAACATTTTCTGAAACTTTGATTGAAAACTTCAAAAAGTTTATGTTGTTTTGCTTGGCAGAATCTTGCAGTTACCTATGCCTGCTAAATCCAAAGACATACTAGATAACGCTAGACAAGGTGATGAGAGATCTCCATAAGTTTTAAAAGTGAATGGTGGCAGCAAGTGGCCACATTTTAGACTGAAGTGTATACAAAATAACAGGGACACAGTGCAATTAGTAATTGAAACAAAAAAGCACTGTGTGAGCTAGAACAGTTAATGATGCTTACAATAAACATACACCACTAAAAGTTTGTGCAAACAATTATAATTAGTATCATTTTGCCCTCATCACGTAGTATAACAACTGAAGTCATTCACAGCTTAGCAAGTATCTTGACAAACACACTGACAACATTACTATCTACTGTCTCAAATGCTGACATTCAGAGAAACAAATGTCCAAAGCATTTTTTATCTCTTGTAAAGCAGCGCTGGTCAATTTTCCACATAGACAAGACTAGACTGATGTAGTCCGGATCAGAAGTTTTGTTTTCTTCATCAGAGCCCTATTCAATACTGGAACTATTCGTAAATCATGCCGTAAAAGATAATGGAAATATGTGTACATGAAGTCACCCTTCTTGGTCCAAATATAATTATAAACACAACTTCAAAAAGTCTACAGAAATATCAGTGTTCAATACTGGTACACTTTATTTGGCAGAAATATGGTTCTCATACACTGTGCCTTTAGCTTGCTGTATATGTATCTAGCTAAAGGATTGCTAACAGCTGTGTTCTCAAGCAACTTAAAGAGACATGCTCCACCAACCTAGGTTCAAAGACATGCTTGACCAACCTGGGTTTTATTTGTTACACGTTCAAATATATGAAATATATGAAGAGAGATCTAATTCATTGTTCAGACCATGGGTTGCAAAAGTCATTTATATATATTGAGCTTTCTTTTGCAGCAGTATTTTACTGTGGTGTTATACAAATAAGACATGTGTTTGTAAAGTACAAAAAACTTCAAATTTTCTGGTTCATGATGATGTTCTTTCATAAAACGCTCCGCTGATGGGGTGTTGGTAATATGAGTTCTGATCCTAGAAAGGTGTTCTAAGATCCTAACTTCAACCATTCTCATGGAAATTCCTATCTATTGCAAACCACATTCACATTCCAACAAATAGACTACACGACTTTCGACGGGCCCTAATTTAATCATCTAATTTAAACTACTTAATGGTCATAGCACACTTACATGCTGTGCCATTTTGTGCACACTTAAAAATGACCAATTATGATGGGATTTGCTGGAATACCCTCACTTTTGAAATTAGATGGTAACATCAAGCCATAAAATACAATTTAAAAACCTCTAAAACAGCACGCAATTTAATAACTACAATACATGCAGTAAAATACAATATGAATACAACAATTCTACAAAATTCCAGATGGCATATTGAGGGGCATAATTTAGGCCTCCCTCTCGTGCCCCCCCATTCCCCTTCACAGTTATCTGAATATTGATTCAGATAACTGTGAAGGGGAATGGGGGGGGCACGAGAGGGAGGCCTAAATTATTACCAGCTGGGGCCCCTGTACTGCCCTTAACCATAGGCCCGGCAGAACAACTCTGTTTTGCAGGCCCTGCAGAACTGTACTAAATCCCTCAGGGCCCTAATCTCTCCTGGAAGAGTGTTCCAGCCTTGGCCCTGGTCGAGGACAGATGGATATTCTTTGGGCCAGGAACCAATGTCATATACATTTTTAAAACTTACTATTAATTTATAAAATCTGCCCTCTTTTTGCAAGGTGCTGAAGGTAAAGATGGCAATTAAAATAAAAGCATCACAATAAAATATAAAACTATGTTTTAAACTACTACTAGTTGCTGCTGCTGCTGCTGCTGCTGCTGGTTCTGGAAGCTTCATTTTTATGCATTTTGAGTTACTTGCCATTATTCAGTTTCTGGCAGATGGTGGCATATTCATGTACAATTGACCAACTGATACCACTCAGTTTGGGATTTCAGCATGGAATTTTAATTGATTGCTTTGTTCCATCATGTGTTTTATTTTCATGTGTTTTATCTGCTATTTTGGTTGATAGATGCTTTTCATGTCAAACTTCCAAAACCAAAATGTAATTTGCATTCTTCAGATTTTTAAGTTAAACAGATGTTGGTTGCAGAGAGCTGGCTTTGTGCTGCTGCTTGTTATAAATGAACAGGACACACACCTTTATCTTCCACATGAATAAAACCTTCATGTACCTTTATCCAATCATCTTCCCACTGCTCTCCAGGCCTGTGACACATAACATGCCTATGCTTTGTGGGTAGGCATGGAGGGAAATGGGGTAACTGGATAGCTATATGAGGCATGGGAGGTTCTGACATTTGGGTGTGCAGAGGTATACTGCAATGTGCTTGATACTGTTTGAAGTATACCCAAGTGAGGGCCAGTAGAGCAGGAGACAGATAGTGGGATCCTATACAAAGTTACAGCATTCTAAGCCCATTGATATCAGTGTGCTTAGGAGAATGTAACTCTGCTTAGGATTGCATTGTGAAATCCTTAGCAGAACACCTTTGAGGATCCCTTCTGTGCATGCACACCTTTGAGGATCCCTTCTGTGCATGCATATGCAGAAGGACTCCGGGTACATCATAGGGATAGGACTGTGCCCATAACATATTTTATAAGGCTGTACTTTGCACAGGATCTGGCATTCTGGCTGCAATGGTATTTCACTAATAAAATTTTTCTTGCTCATTGCTTTTTTCCTTCCTAGTTCCTGTTTTGCTAAGGACACCTCAATTTATGCCAGTTACATTTATACCATTGCTGCTTCTTTGATCTTGCTGAATTTCATTACCTATTTCCATGCCTTGGACTACCTATATTTTTTGGCTCTCTGACTTCTGGTACAGCTTTGGGTCTCCTTTGTCTTGCCACTCAGATTTGATTTAAGCTGTATATTTCTAGCTCCTGACCTGATCTGACTAGTTCTGACTTCTGGTTCTGTATCTTAGAATTAGTTTCGGACCTCTGCTTTTTTGATCTCCAGCCTGGCTACCTTCTTGATCTCCATTCTGACTTTGGTCTCTTGAAACTTCCATCATTCTCCCTTACTGCAAGTCCTGGCTAGATCTTATCCTTTAGTGGCTGTTGTCACAGGTGAGGTACATTCATACTCCTTTGGGCAAAACTGGGATGTAGGCCACAGTACTGTATCCATTAGTCATCTTCTCACTGAGTTTGCTCACTGTGGATTATATGATATGTTTAACTTTGATTCGTAAGTGTTATGTGTCATAATGAAGAATATTGTAGATTTGGGTGTTGTTCTTCTTTCCGCACAGTATATTATTTCAAAACTGAAAGCCCAGCCTCTTCCTTTTGTTTGCCCTCAGTAAATGGCCCACTTCTCATAACACTGCATCTCAAAACAAGGAGACAGAGACAGTATTGAAGAACTTCCTGTTTCTGGAAATCTGTTAGTTGAAATCATTATTGCACTCTGTCTGAAGTAAAATCAGTTGCTGCTGAAGTAAAATCGGTAATAAAATGAGTAAAACAAACATACTTTGTTTTGGTGCCTCAGTTTTGGAATAACTCCCTCACAGTTATTTTTCTGGTACAGGGACTGTATAGTTTTTGGTATTCAGGGAAGACATTTCTTTTTTATCTAGGCTTTTCTTAAGAAGCTATCTACAGTGGCATCCCCCCATGTGCTCTTTTCTCACTGATGAAAAAGATAATACATAACTGAATTAGTGTTGCCAGGTGTGTGCATGTGAGAGAATATGTGTGTCAGTTATCCTTTTTTGGTGCAGCCATTGACTGGTTTAAAAATAACTAACAATTGAAGAAAATCATGCCCCTTGGTGAAAGAGCTGGGAAAGAAATCTTAAAGGCAAGTATTTGAAGCAAAAGTTATTCTGCTGTAGTATTAAAAAATGTCCGTGTTGCTGAGTACTGCATTTGCTTCAAACATTTGTTTTTGTGATTTCTTCTCCATATATTTCAAAAGGGGGCATGCTATGATTTACTGGTGTATTTGTATTTACTATTTTATTGCACAATAAAGATCAAGAACAGTATTGTCATTTATTAAAATTAATATTTAACTGGCTTGAGATGAAATAATAGCAACCATTTTTGTAAAAATGATAAAGTGTGCAGTTTTAATTTATTTCTTTTGTGTATAAGGTTGAACTAAATACTTTAATGAAGAAGATACTTTAGCTAACTGTAATTTTAAAAGCACAATTCAACATTTCCTGTTTGTACTTCTTTTTGTAGCTGGATTCTGTATGAGAAACCAAACTTTGAAGGGTCTTCCATTCCACTGGAGGAAGGAGAGTTAGAGCTTACAAATATTTGGGGTGAACAACCATTTGATGACAAAGATGAATGTAAATCTCCTGAGCCTGTAGTTATTGGTTCAATCAGGCATGTAGTAAAGGCAAGTAAGGGCTTGACTGCATTATTCCTTAGTGAAGCTCAAACTTGAGTTGCACCACCATTCTTATTTATCACTTTGCTTTTTTAAGTGCTGCTGAATTGTCAGTGAATCCTGCATCTCCACAAGGCTATGGGCTGCACTGCCCAAATTATTGCAGAGTTTAGGTGGTAGTGGTAGGGAGGTATTTTCTTTCATATTGCATTGGTGAAAGTTTAGATCCTTTCATTACTCTTTCCTATATATGATTGCATGTTGCCATGATACATACCACAGAAAATAAGGAAAAGGGGATGTCCTTCTATACAAATGCCTTTTGTTCATTAAACTAATTGTGATAGAGGGTTCTTTGCATGTTGCCATCACTGCATAGGTTGGTGGCATACATTCATTATGCAGAAGTAAGGGAAGACACAAGGTTGAATCATATGTGTCAGTCATTTTGATGGGCCTAGGTTTAACTGAAGATTGCTAGAATTACTTATGTTTTCTTTTATGGAAATATTTTTCCCATTAGTGGTGAGCCCGCATGCGGGGAGGGTGGGGTATAAATGAAATTAAATAAATTTTAAAAATTAAGCCAAATACAGATCATAGATCTATATTTGGCTACCAATATGGCTCAGCCTGAAAAAAGTCAAATTTTTTGGCTTTTATTTGGGCGAGTCAGCCTCAGCCGAAGTGGAACAGGTGTCAGTTCCGAGCTGCAATAGAGAATCAGCTGAGGCAGTGTAGAGATCTTTCCCTGCAGCCTTGGCTGGGGCTCTGCTGGGCTGCCTGGTTGAAACCAGACTGCCCAACAGAGCCCTCCCAGGAGCCAATCCTGCGGGGAGGACTCTTCTCAAAGCCAGCAGAAAGCAAGTGGGGGAAGGTCTGAGATCTTCCCTCCTTTCTGCTGGCTGCGGCTCCCAGAGGTCAGCAGAATGGAAGGGGGCTGCCCAGCAGAGCCTGCAGGGAACTTGCCCCTCTTTAAGTTCATTTGCATGTGGCTTGGCTTGCAAAAGCCAGTTAAAGAGAACTTTCCCTTTAAATGGCTTTTGCAAGCCAAGCTGCACATGAGTGAACCCTGGAGTGGCATGAGTTTACCCACCCCCTTCTCCATTATACCCTATGGTGATGGTCCTCATAGGGTATAATGGAGCCGAATAAATTTGAAAGTCCCAATTACTTCCTAAATCCCAATATCATACTGATTTTGGGATTTGGTAATATTGGGAAATACGAGTATTTTGGGGGTTCAGTACACCCGATCCTGAAAATTACCATGTTTTGGGGTTTTTGCACACCCCTGTTGGCGTCTACACAACTGCATATTTTTTCCAGTTTATTTAATAGATCATACATACTTCAAACTAACTTTTGCTCAGCATTAAAGTGTACTCAGGGGTCATTTCCTGTGGGAGCGCACAGGAGCAGAGCTCCGGCAGTAAGGAGCCCAGGGGGCAGGCACATGCAACAAGCCCCGCCCCCTGCTCCCAGCAGCCCTCAGTCGAGCCAGGAGGAGCAAGAAGCAGCCAGGGAAGTTGCAGAGCCCCCCCGCCGGCTTGCCTTCAGGTACAAGCTCTCCCTCCTCTGTGAGGGCAGATCTGTGCGTCCCCCCCCCCCCCCCACCAGCTCAATCCAAAACAGTCCAGTGGAGCCTGAGCGGTGGGTGTTGCCTTCTGACACACTTCCGGTGATGTCAGGGGGTGTGGCATATGCAAATGAGTTATGCTAATGAGCTCCTGCACCTCTTTTTCTACGAAATGACCCCTGAGTGTACTTCAGTCCACCTGTGGGGCACCATGCGTGTAAACAAGTTCCTACACACATCACTTGCCAGAAGAGCATCTGCAGGCATGAACTGCATATTTGTGTGTTTGAGTGTAGATGCATCTCAAAATGTGTTTGAGTGAAGATGAGTTCATTCTACACTTCCTTCATTTGAAAGGGATGCAAGTTCTACTGTGCACTGAAGAATCACATCCTGATCCACAGTCTCAGAAACAAATAAATTGAAAGTGTGACAAACATCCCAGAATTTCAAAGCACCGTTGAATACAAGAGAGAAAACTTAGCATGTGCCTATTTTTTTCGAATTTGTACGAAACAGACACACTGTCTCTAACCTAATATACAGAGAAGGTATTGCTCTGCACATTAAGATTTAAATTTCCAACCACATTTAATTTTATTGGGTTGTGGAGATAGGGTTAGTTTATCATAGATGTGTTAGGCAAGGGGAAATACCACATGGCTAAAAAGAAGGCTTTGATGCACTAATTAGACTAATACTTGATTATGAGTAGGATAATATTGGAGGCCTGGAATGAGGCATGCTTATCTAGATTAAGAAAGTTAAGATCCTTTGAATATGTGTCAGAATCTCTGGAAAGAGAATTATGTGTATTTGTTACAAAGATAAGTTTTAAAGAAACCGTGGTGGTGGTGGAAGGTGCCCTCAGGTCACAGCTGAGTTATGGTGACCCTGTAGGGCAGGGGTCCCCAACCTTTTTGAGCCTGTGGGCACATTTGGATTTCTGACATGCCATGGTGGGCACAGCAACAAAATGGCTGCCACAAAATGGATTCCACAGGAGGTGGAGCCAGCCACAGAATGATTGCCACAGGTTAACTTCAATAACAGAGTGCAGATCCTTGTGCTGTGGTGGCAGCTGCTGCCAAAGCAACATTATAAAAAATTGGCACAGCCAAGCAAATCTGCAATAGTCTGTGCAAAAACCTACCTGGCCCCACCTACCTTGTGGGAGCCAAAAAAGGTGCTGGCAGGCACAGGCACCATGATGGGGACACATGCCAAGACGAGACATTCAGAGATGGTTTGCCATTTTGCTGCCTCTATGCGGTCTCTCCCATCCAAATATTAACCAGGGTTGATCCTGCTTAGTTTCTGAGATCTAATGAGATTGAGCTATTCTGGGCCACCCAGCTCAGGGCAAAGAGATTGTAGTCACTAGGATATAGAAGAGACTATATGACATTATATCATAGTTTTTTGTACAAATTACCCCAGGTTTGGCCCCTGATATATATGGCCCTAAATCTAATCCCAGTTATTTCAATTTATGATGCTTAGTTTCTTTATGATTTTTTTCAGGATTATAGATTATGCCGAATTGACCTATTTACAGAACCAGGAGGGTTAGGTATGGTAAAGTCATACTTTGATGACACTGAGGAAACACGAATAATTGGCGCTGTAGAGAAGACACGTTCTATGCAAGTGCATTGGGGCATGTAAGTACATGAATAGGTACACATTAAAAGCAAAACAGTATTTAAAGTATTTGTCAAATGTCCAGGTTCTGAAATAGATATGCTTATACATAAGATTTTACTTTAGTGAGTGACATTTACTTTACTGTGAGTGATGTTCATTTAAAACACAATTCATTTGTCAATCCTTGGTGTATGTCAGGTAGCCCTGTCATAGATCTGGAATGTGGAGGGGTATCCTCCTTCTCATTCTCAGCTCTCGCCTGCTCAGCTACTATGTGCTATCTTACGCTTGACCTTGCAGATGCTCCAGCTGCAGTTTACACGGCTGGGAAAGCTAACGGCTTTGCTGCTGTGCCTGCTTGCTTTGCCGCGCGTGCGAACTATATCCATTGGCTTATGCTTATGGGGGGAATGTTTGATTTCACTATAAGTCAGAGGCCCTAGTACTGACGGCCATTCCTGACACAAGCTGTACATGTGTTCTTTAGCACTGGACCAACTAATAAACAGTTATCTTCTTATGAAGCCCTGTGTGGTGTGACCTGACTAAGGAGCCTGACAGTGTATCGGGCATGAAGTTTGATATATAGATATTTTATATATAACAATTAAAGTCTGACAGACACTGGATTGCATTCAACATTGGGTTGCATTCGGCAGTCTATTAGTGGAAAGTGCTGACAGTTGTGGATCTTACTGGTTTCCCCTCCCCTATGCTTTATCTGGTTCCAGAAAAGTTGACTTTTATTTCTATTTGTTATTTTTAACTTCTGCTTTTAAGAATTATTTATTTACTGCTGATTATCAGTTTAAACATTTTAAACTACTTTTTTGGGGGCTTTTGTGTTGTTGTTTATCAGTTCTCCTAAGTTTTATTTTACTGGCTTTAATATTTTCTGTACAGTACCTTATGGTTGCAATATGAAATATAAATGAATGAAATTAATCAGTTACAGATATTTTATTAGAAGAAGAATGTGCCTTCAAATTATTATGCTTCAGATAAATACATGTTCTGGCATTGTAGTAACTTATTATTACTGTGGAATATAAATGAATGAAATTAATCAGTTACAGATATTTTATTAGAAGAAGAATGTGCCTTCAAATTATTATACTTCAGATAAATACATGCTCTGGCATTGTAGTAACTTGATAACTAATATTCCTGTAGTACATCTCTGCCTTGAAGGCACTAACTCAATAGACCTCAGTGATCAAATATCAACAATCAAATAGTTGTCTTTTTGTTTTTTGAGTAGGTAAGAATTCCAGGAAAATGTTTGGCCGCAGGTAGGAGGATTAAAGCAAAAATTTCATTGGAAAAAGGAGATAAGTCATTATAAGGAAAAGGGATCAAAGAGTTCATTCCTTGGATTCAGATAGTTACAGAGTAGAATTAATAACACTTCTCATTACTTTTGTGTGGACAAGGAATGCTTTAAAACAACACTGAACCAATCTCAAGGAAGAGAAGTTGCTGCCATGTAGTCAAAAAGCAACTGGCCAGTATTGTTTGCATTTCTAATTTCTGTTGTAAGACCATCAGAATAAAGCGTCTATGATAATTTAAAAAGAAAGCTCCCCAGCCCACGGACCGAGAAGTGAAACGAGCGGGGGGAGGGGCTCCTCCCATGCACACGAACTTTTAAGCAAAAAAGGGGAGGGGAGCGGAAGCGTTGAAATCTGTTGAGAAAAACTTACCAATGCGTGTATAAGCGCTTGAGTGCACATTCAGAGACTTTAGAAAC